CCAACGCTACGTTGATGAATACTAGATGTCTATCATCTACTTCCGGATCGGAGTTTGTCTCTCCTCGTGAGATTTCACCATGGTGTAGAGGCGAACGACGATTCCACAACTCGAACTTATAGGCGAGTATAACTCCAGCGGATACCTAGCTTATGGGGGGGGGGTGAAAACATACCAGCGGATACCCTAGCTTTTTGGGGGGTGAAAATATACGAGCACAGCCGGGATGGTTCAAAAGACCAGTCTCCAAGGCACGAACTTACTCAGCAGAAGGATTTTCACTAGTTTATATATATGTATATATATTGTTTAATTTACACTACTAGTTTTATTTGTTTAATTTTCAATAGTTTAAGAGGTCATTTATTTTTGAAGCTCTTCAATCACTGGTGACGCTTGAGCTTGAGGGGAGTGTAGTAAAAGTCCTCTTAAACCACTATCAGTGTGTAGTTAGAATTAGTTTACAATTAATTCACACGAGATGAATTATTTGTAGACCACGTAGACAATCAAATATAAGAATAAATACACCGCATTGAGCCTCAGGAAGACTCAGTAGGTTTCAGTATCGTATTTTGATGTGTTTACTACAAAACGCCGCAAGAGTACAGAAACTTAAAAAGCTTGCATTGGTGAGTCTACGGCAGCAGAGATGGAGAGCAGACTCCCACTCTTAGCCAATGAGTGTTGAAGGAAAAACAGACGGGACCTTTAGAGAATGCACGAGAGTTACAGGGTCTAATCCGTACATCTAATGAGACCTTGAAGACATGTTTTGTAACATCAGACAGACAGGTACCAAAGGAATGGCCGCCTAATCTACAAGGAAGCTACTTTTTCGACAACCCGCACAAGAGCTACACGCATTTATTTAGGATTGGCACAAGAATGCAAAGTTATACAAATTAGATTCAATTCAATCGCAGACAGAGCTACATATATGGCATTTTTGGACTTCATTGTTAATAACGAACAGAAATTACAGAGTATGTCAATTAAGAAAGCCACTGTTGCTGTTATTGTGCGGACATAGAATCAGGACTTGTAAGACAACGCGTCTTAACAAGTTCTGACGTGCATGAATTTAAAACCTAGAATACCACTGGACGCACAACTTCGAAATTACGAACAAAAGTTGGAATTGATGGAGATGCGCAGGGATTAGGATTATTTTGGACAACTCGGAATGTTCACCCTTTCACCCTGTTTCTTCTTTTTGAGATTAATGAGGCGAGTATAGAACGCTTACTTCGTGTGACGCCTACCACAGGACAGCCATAAGAGGACAATAAGAGCTCCCCCCAGTGTTTAAGAAGAAATACTCTAAATGTACATAGCCTACATGGGAAAGTCACTAAATGTACATACAGATTTACGGGTACGTTTTCTAATTGCCCAATTAAAATCGCTAAATGTGACATTCAATTCCTTTCTCAAACTTTTCAAACTAGAAATTTAAAAAGTACATTTAGAGACTTTTTTATGCACATTTAGTGACTTTCCAGTGCTGTTTTTATTATTATGACACCTCGGTTCGATGCAAAAAAATAAAAAAAATGATTTTTCTATTTCTATCAGGTTCAAAATGGCGGCGAGTGTGCCAACTGACAACCGACTCACGCATCTGCAAAATATTGTGTGGATGTATAACAAAAATAAGAACAACTGCTATGTGTGTAAAAGTCCAAGAAATGCACACAGCTTCAGCACTTAATATCATGTTCTGTGCTTTATCTAACGATACTCATTACTTTATATGCTACAGGGATGAAACACACGATCTGAGATTTTCATGCTCTATACGTTATTTCAAATACACAGATGAGTTGTACACAAATCAAACAAGCTACATGCTGTGTAGGCTGCGAATGTCGACAAGGGGAGCAGCACAGGTGTCCGAAATTTTCAGCACTTAATATCATGTTCTGTGCTTTATCTAACGATACTCATTACTTTATATGCTACAGGGATGAAACACACGATCTGAGATTTTCATGCTCTATACGTTATTTCAAATACACAGATGAGTTGTACACAAATCAAACAAGCTACATGCTGTGTAGGCTGCGAATGTCGACAAGGGGAGCAGCACAGGTGTCCGAAATTTTGATCCCGTGGAATCAAAGGAACGGACATTGGAACCTGGCGATTGTTTCATTGTATAAGAAACGCTACAAATATCATATTAGATAGTATGCCAACTCCTGTTAGAGCTGATTTATATATTAAGATGGAAATACAATTCTCATATGGTCCTGTAAAAGAGCATCATCGATCACGTGAGTTGCGCACTAGGCAGTGAGATAAGCTTGAATGAAGTAGCATATACAAACAACAAATAATAATAAACAACATAACCTCCCTCAACAAATTTATACGTCAAAAATTGTTATAGCCGAAGGCTCTCTAATTTAAATTTAAACAAATTTTGTACGATAAAGTCACTAAATGTACATAAAAATTTGTAATTGTCGCTAAATGTACATTTGTATGTATTTGATCCATTTTCAGTACGTTGTCCTGGCCTGATAAACGACACACGGGTTGTCGTTTATTAAGGGGTATTTACGACGGTTTTAAACCGGTAGGATAAAATATATAATAAACGACTGGTCGTTTATTCAATAGTAAGTTTTAGATGGTTTGTGGGCACTCTAATATTGGGTTATATTGACATAGAATGTATATAATTAACCTTTATAATCCTTAGTAATGTGTATAACAGTACAAGCCCATAAAACCATATCAATCTGGGTTATAAGCCCATAAAACCGTATCAATCTGGGTGCGGTATAGACATGGTACACAGTCAGGAACAAAAGAATAAAGAATAATAAAGGTTTCGGTATGAAGTTCAATTTAAGATCGACTAAAACTTTATTCTTTATTAATACTTTTTATTATATAATATGTTTTGCGGGCAGAATAAGTTGTTAATAGTATACGAATGGTTCACAGGGGCTCTGTTTTGCGTCGGGTAGATTTGGGTTCCGTGTTGACATTGTGTTCTCGTAGTACTGGCCGACAGTATCTGTCGCAGGGGCGTGATTGTCATGTGATGTAGGATCAAGGGCCAATAGCAATCCTACGCAATCTTCGGCTGGGTGTTGGTGTTGTGGTATGTGTTGGTGTAGTGGTATGTGTTGGTACTGTGGTGCACGCGGTAGCGGAGAAGGAGGAGGTGGTGGTGCTGCTTTAGGGAAAGGTCCCAGGGGAGGCGATGCGGACGGGGACCGCAATCCAAGGATTTCTCTTTGTTCGCGCGTCGACTGAGCAATACTTTCTGTAGCTACTGCCATAGTGCCACTGGTAGCAAGTCTCTGGTTCTTCCTTTTTCTCTGCACTTGTGTATCCTTGTTCGCCTTACGTTTAGCCTTCTCGGATTCCGACTTTTCCTTCGCCGCTTTCATCTTCTTGAGTTCTTCTTTCCTACGCATCTTTTCCTCCCTCTTTTGCTTTGCAGCTTCTTTCTTCTTCTTAGACGCCTCCCGAGCTATTGGACCTGCCTCCTGAGCTATGGTCTCCTCCGCCAATCGCTCCTTCTCCTGTGTGGCAAAGTTAGCAAATCGCTCACGGACGGGCGCTGCTACCACTAGAGGAGTACTTGGAGAGGATGGAACACTCTTGACTTTCCGTTACGGTAACTATGATTAAATCATATTGATATATTTCAATATTTGGTGGTTTTGTTGTCCTGCGCGGGCTTAAACTCTTAAAGCGCGCGGCGTAGCTGCACAAGTCGAAACGCCAAACGGACAATACTATGAGTGTTAGAGGTTAGACTTAGTATGGGGGTTATCAGGCTAGCTGCAGCCGTTAATAGGGTTGGTTGGTTTTCATTGGTCTATACTGAGAATACTTTATCTCAAAAATAAAAACTACTATTAACGACTACTCATTTACGACCTACGGCTAAAACCTCTTGGGGGGTTTTTTTTGGGTTTAAAACCATTTTGTAAAAACGATCGTATCGTTTATCGGGCCAGACGTTTTTATCGGCAGAATAGATGAATGTACATTTAGTGACTTTTCCACATTTTGAATATACATTTAGCGACTTTGTTCAGTATTTAACGATTAATTTCATACAGAAGATGCAAGCTATCTATGACGAAAGGATCGTGCAAGGGGTTGCCTGGTTGGACGGCTGGGTTACCTTGATTCCATAACGAGACATATCCTTGTAACGCTCGTTACTATGTGCCTTATTCTCATTTTGTAAATTATTATTTACTGCCGCTCGACAACCTGTCGGATCAGATCCGGGCACCGGTAACAGTAACGGTTGTAATCGAGCATGCCCCGCAGTCCGACTTTGTGTGGAGGTCTAAGCCGAGTGGTGGGGCGGTGAATGTACTGATGGAGTGGAAGGCCATTCGCGATATTGTATCGCGGTCGGCTACCAGTGCGCATCTCGCGCAGCTCGCGTGATGTGTCGCATCAACCCTCAGGTGGATATTCTGGGGTGTATGTGTACGCTAGAGTGTTTGTATGGGTGTGTATCTGTAATTGTAGTCGTGCAAAAAAAGGTGCATGTACGATACAAGAGGTTTGTGTACTGCTTCACCTCGCATGAGCTGATTGTGGACCCGTAACTATTCCTCGCAGCATTAGTGTTGTGTTTTGCTCGACGTGTCAGTTAGGCATGATCGGACTCTTACATACCCAACTGAAATGTCTATTTAAATCCTCGTGCCCGCTCTATCACCACTCTTGTCACGTCACGTTGTGTAACACACAGGGCTCCAATATCCTTCTGCTGGACGGTGATGTCAAAGAGGTCCACGGCGCCAAAGTGATGCACTCGAGAAAGCACCTGTTGAGTTGCTGGGATCCAGATTTACGCTTCTTTGGTTACATAGTTGCCCAAGAAGACCTGCAGTCAGCTGAAACGCACACACTCGGGGGGTCCCGTGGTCTACTTACAACCTGTACAGACATCATAAGTTCAAAGCATCTGCTAATACAAATAGCTGCTAAACCCTGATTACACACAACAAGGACAAAAAAGGCCTATTTTGGACACTCAACTGTACCAATACCGATCAGAATTAGGAACACATATCGCTGAGACCGCAGGCGATATGCACCTGGGCCTTAAATTTCGGGCAACGGCTACGTTCTGGGACAAATACGTGGAGGGCGTGAAGAAAAAGGCCAAAGCGCCGCGGCTATACCAGAGCGAAGACACCGAGAAACCGCACAAACGACACAGACTGGTAAGAGGCCCCGAGTGTGAGGGTGCTCACTACTTCCACGCGTGCAATAAAGAGGTGCAGGTGCACTTGGAAACTATCGGCCGCTTGAGTACTCAAGGGGAAGCAATCCCACATGAGCGGCTACAGTTAGCTACTGGCTCACTCCCGCTCCCGGCGTGCAACCTTCGTTTATGGAAAACATCAGAAACTGGAGAGATTAGTGTTTTGTTGGTACTGAGGTGGTGATATGTTGTCTGGAGGGATCGTTTATTCCACAAAGCAAGCGACTCAGTTGTCTTTTTGTGTTTCCGCGTCCAGCTTCGCCATTACGAGATTATTGTTACACGCGAGTACGATCTGTTGCGGTTTTGGTACGCTGGCGCTGGGGTTGTTTAGTTGGCGACGGGTGGTTGGGACTGTGGCGCTTAGTTATAGTATTATAGACACCGTGTAGTGAACCACGCAGGGCTTGGATTTCGTTCATCCTTCCGTAGCGGATAATTTGATACCAACACTGTTTGTCAAATCAGTATTATAACTACTACAATCCAGCTACGTCAGTAGTTGAACTGTAAGCTTCAACGTTTGTTCACCCTTGCCATGATACTTGCTGATAAAGGCCACCTGTCCCTAGTGTGTCGTGTTAAAATATCAACTCCCCGAGTAGGTGTGTGGTCATCAAGTTTCGGTTTGAACTTTTACTTGTCGACAACGTAAAGAACAGCCTATGGCGTCACTGTATAATGATATTGCAGCAGCCTACCGCTGCATGAATGTATATCTACTCCTAGATAGAGTTTTTTCAGGCATGTAGTCGAGGCTGACCGTCGCGATACTCTAATCTTATAGCAGAACCACGCTATACGGCGTAGTTGTACGTTCATCAACTTTGACTGACGCCATCGTTCCATATGCCCATACAGGGCTGTACGGAAGTCTGTTAGCTAGCAATGGAGTTGTTCTAATCCATGGCTGCGATGAAGTGCTTGAACGCAGAAATGAGAGGTTTGAGCACAAGTACGGCGATTGGTCACCAAATGCTCGCAAATGTGTGGGTCGTCGTCTACTGTCACCATACCTTTGCATCGAAGTCCATCCTCGAGTAGCTTAAAGGAGATAGCCCCCTGGGAACCTGTTAGTCAATGTCTGGACTGACAGAATTCGACGAGAATATTCATTCTTTTAATCTTGGCTCCCTATGGTGGCTAATGGAGAGTCTGCAATGAAAGCCTCGAGCCGAATACAGGCTGCCTAAATAAGACTGTCAAAGTTGTGTCGGATTCACCTCTACTTAAGTCCCCAGTTGCACAACGCCGCGCCCATTTGTATTAGTTGTCTGAAGTTATTGTATAATTTATGTAAACGATCGATCAAAATGACGGGGCATTCTAACTTCGTCACTCAAATATAAGTAGTCATCAATCAGAAATATGTTTTATCCTGAGTGCAGAACATGGATTTCGATGCACTATTGACCAAGAGTAGATGCTTATAAGTCTTAGGATATTGTTTATTTGAAACCACCTTTGCCGCCAAAAGTTATGTTTTGTGGTCAGAACAAGATAACAACTCAAATTTATGATTATAAAGGATGAACACAGTATCATATATCATACCTTTATAAAGATATAAACAAACAACTAAACGAGCCCGTCGAACAATCGACAGTCCTCGATACAGATTCAGTCTATGCAGTAATGGTGGTTAGATAGTTTCTGTACTTGTATAATAGCATTCCGCTACGACAATGGTTCTGTGTTCGTGTTATTTTATATGTGGTTTGTGATAACATTATATCTTGTTTACTACAACTTTCACTACCAGCAACCGCGCTACGAAAGATTGCTGCCACTGTGTATTTTACGAGAGCGAGATGAAGCAAAGTATGAAATTATCAAGTATCTCTTGATAGTTGCTCATTGATTGACGAATATCTATATGTACACTAGAAACATTCAAATTGAGGCTATCTGGCAAATCAATGGCTTAATTGTCGAAAATTTCACCAGCACAAAGCAGACAAAACGGAAATCGCTTTCAATGAAGTAAATCAAATATTTCGCACATCCATAAATGCCAATACATGTTCTCCAGTGATAGTGCACAAAAGGCATCGCTCAATACTATCGTATCGTTCTTCTATACAAGTCAGGCCATAATCAGCCAAAGAAAAAAATACATTCGCATGCACAATAAGACAACGATACCTTGAATGATCTAATGATATTTAATCCCGATATTTTGATGCGGTATTTATTTGGGGCCTCATAGATTGGCGCAAAGTAGTGAATCATAAAAAACGCATAGGAGTTGTTTCATTGGAAAGTTACAAACCGATTGCTATAGCATATTCATGAATATACGATTGCTAGTGTAATTGCTCTCGTGGTATACGTGGCCAAAATGTCAACCTGACGACACAAAACGTCGTGCGTATAATCGAAAAACTTAAGATTGTTGTATACAAACTTTATGATCAAAATATCAGAACATGGCCACATATGTCAGGAAATAAACAACACTACTTCAATCTGTCATAGTATGACTGTGACAAATTTGGTACGTATGAATATCACTGTGGCAACCTTGAAATTGCAAGTGCACAAGAAAAATATTACAAAGCCGCATGCTTCAAATGACAAAATAAATCCAATTTCCTTTGCAGTGCGGAATGAATTACTCATGCTGTCATGTATAAAGTGCATCGCACAGTAGTCTACTGACGCTGATCGATGGCGATCATACTGGAAACTCTCCAAACATATCAGCTTAACAATATCCAACCAAAGAATCATCAATGCCTCATTTTAATCCCCAAACTATGCATGACAAGCATGCGCATTACACGGTAGTGAACAGCTGCTTACCAACTCTTCCTTGACAAAATTAGCTGTAAATATACACGTGTTGACACGATACTATATTTCGACTCCTCAACTTGGCTACTATATACACTTTACAGTACCACGACATATCCTTCTATCACTTCAAATAAAACCTGCACTATATACGAATAAGATCTTCAGATCAATAACCATTCTTTCACATCATCCCACTTGATGCACCAAGTATGAATGTCCTACTCTGTGAATGCAACTTTTAGGGGGTTTGACTCTGTATTCATAAAGTTCACCTGAACGAGCTGCCTCCTCGTATTAAAATGAACCTCATTAGCCAATAGAGGTTGAACATGATCGCAGGGTAACTTACATTCTCTACATCTCAGCATGACTATGCTATACCCATGTTAATTTTCATTTTGATCCGAGCATGCCATTCGATCCACGAAATTTGTATAAAAACCAAAGCCAAAACTTCAGTTCGCTTTTACAGAGAACAAGTTTTAG